GACCAAATCTCTCTCCATGCCCTTTTCACCAAGGTGTTCCATTACAGATATTTCCTATAACTCTCACTCCTCCTAGCCATAGGCTATACGAGCTGCTACAAGAGTATACCATCTGTCTCATCAGTGAATGGTATTTACATAGTTTTCATATTGATAATGACTAAATTACTGTTAGGAGAGTAGGGATATTAGAAGTATTGTAAGGGTTGCATAGGAGCAGGTGGGATTGTGAGAGAGCTGAAGCCTCATTACATTGAAGGAAGTGATATTTTAAGAAGAAATAATCAAGTATATTATTTATTTAAAGATACACAAGTGTTCATCTAAAAGAGAGTTGAAAGTAGTTGCCTCTGAAAGAGGGAAGAAGGAATTTGAAACAAGGTATTTAGATTTTAATAAGAACTTTGTAGAACTCACTGACTATGTACATGTATAACTTTCATAAAAAATGAAAACTATAGTACAAATTGTTTGGGTTTGTTGTTGTTGTTGTTTGTTTTTTGAGCCAGTCTCCAGCTGTTGCCCTGGGTAGAATGCCATGGTGTCACAGCTCACAGCAACCTCAAACTCTTGTGCTTAAGTGATTCCCTTGCCTCAGGCTCCCAAATAGCTGGGACTACAGATGCCTGCCACAACGCCGGGCTATTTTTTGTTGTTGTTGCAGTTGTTGTTTTAGCTGACCTAGACCAGGTTCGAACCCACCAGCCTCAGTGTATATGGCTGACACCCTACCCAGTGAGCTACAGCACTGCCTGAATTGTTCTGCTAAAAAAGCAAGTGTAGCTGGGCATGGTGACATGTGCCTATAGTCCCAGCTACTCAGGAGGCTAAAGTAAAAGGATTGCTTGAGCCCAGGAGTTCATATCCAGCCTGGGCAACATAGGAAGATACTGTATTTAAAAAGATAAATAAAAAATTAAAATTTTAAAAAGCAAGTGTATGCACAAACTTCTATCGTGTTGTATAGATTTGTCTTGGATTACTTTACAAAATGGATTTTGTCCTACAGTGACTGATAATTTTTGTTTGTTTGTTTTTTGTTATCAGATCAGATACAAGCTGTGAAGACATGAAAAGATAATATTGGAAACTTCAGCAGTTTTCAATTTGTGGAATATATCTAATGCAAATTGAATACTTTAAATTTTTTAAAAGATATTTATGCATCTAAGAATACTTTATAATCTTCTGCTTGCATTTATGGACTCTGAGCTTTTTAAGAACATAGGACTTCAGATATGTTAATCTGGCCATTAATTATTTTCCTTCCACAAAAGAGCTCCCTAGAATTATCAATTTCTCAGTAAAGTTCTATAGTTGATTATAATTAGAATGTTTAAAAGTCAGAAGCCAACTGAATATCCCATGATGATTTGTGATATCTTTAATGTGTTTTCTTTTATAAATTGTCCTTTAAAAAACTTAGTTCATGGGATGACTTTACAGTATGAATTGTACTTGTGGAAAAAAACTTTGAATCTTCATAAGGGGCCAAGGGTAATTAATAGATATTATTTTTACTATGTGTTACCATCAATAAAACATGTAATGTACAACTAGCGTGCTTTTCTCCATGCTGAAAAGAATAATTTTGTGTTAATATGGTATTTGGCATTTATTGTCAAACATTTGTAAAATGATTTGAGACCATTAATTTGGTTTATTCATTTTTTTGAAACATAAATTTATTTATTCAATGTATGTTGAACATCTAGTCAGGCATAGTCCTGGGCAATGGTGAGTCTGTTATTTGTTTTATGGATTAGAAAATTAAAGCCTTAAAGGTTATATAATTTGCCCAAGGTTACAGAGCTAGTAAAAGTTGGTGCTGGGATTCAGAGCCAACCAATCTATCATGGGTGATTCAAAGAATATAACATATATTAGAAATATAGTTGTGTCTCTTCAGAAAAACAAAGTGATTGAAAAGGCTCTTACTGGGGAGGAAAACTGGGGATGTGGTAGTGGGAAGCTAAGCAACCAAGGACTGGGTATTTTCTTTTTTTATTTTGTTTTGTTTTTTCAGGCTTCAAATTTTAAACTCTAGGCATAAATGACTTTGATAAAAATAATTCTTAATACTATTTTGATAACTAAGTTAATTAGTAACTTGCAACTATAGTAACTCAACTTATAATTACATTAACTCATACCTATGGAAATATTTAGAAGAAAGAGAAGTACTAACTTTTTCCTTTGTTTTCATGATCTCTGAGATCTAGTTTGTAGTCTATGAACATCCATTCCCACTCTTCATTTCCACAGGTTATTTAAATGAAAGTTGGGCAACAGTGTAGTTACAGGATGCCATGTAAGTATATATAAACCAAAATTATTGCATTGGTGTTTATCATATTATACAGTTAAAATATATTAAAGCTGAAGCAAGAAGTTTTTCATGTTTAGACATCACTGTTACAAAGTTTAGTTCATAAACTACACATATGAATATAACATGTATAAAGTGTTCAAAAAGTATCCTATTGTAGGTTTTGCATTTAAATATTTTTATGTAGCTCTAGTCACCATATGCTTTATAAATCACAAAAGGACTGAGTTTTATGTATTGTTTTTTTTTAATTGTCTGCTAAAAATGATTAATTGTTTCCTGGTTGATTAGAATATTTTTTCCTTTGTAATTTTTTGATGTTGTGATTTTTTTTTTTTTAATTTCAGGTTAATGTGAGGGTACAAAACAACTAGGACATGTTGCAAGTTTTATAAATATACCCAATTACTCTTGAGAATAACTTGTCTTAGTTCAGGCTGCTCTAAAAAGTATAGAATGGGTAGCTTATAAACAGCAGAAATTCATTTCTCACAGTTCTGGAGATTAGACATTTGAGATCAAAGTGCCAGCATGGCTGAGTTCTAGTGAGAGCTCTCTACTGAGTTACAAACTGCCATCTTCTATTTGTGTCATCTCCTGACAGAAAGAGGGTAAGAGAATTCTCTAGAGTCCCTCTTATTAGGGCACTAATCCATTGAATTTTCACTTGGCTCTGCCCTTGTGACCTAATTACCTCCCAAAGGCCCTACCTCCTCATATCACAGAAGGATTGAGATTTCAACCTGTGAATTTTGGGAGAATACAAACATTCAGTCCATTACAATACTTAGGGCAAGTTCTTGCTTATAACTGTTGTATTTTAAGTGAGCATATTTTCTGCTTTCTTAGTATTCCCTTATTTCTTTGTTTAAAAAAAATCACTAATATTGAAAGTTTACTTAAATGCATAGGTTTGTATTTCTCTCTGCCTGGAGAGAAATACTACAGTGTTTGAGAAATGATTATTGACTTGAACTGAATGTGTCAGGTTACTCAGTTATTACATTTCTGTAGTGAATCTTTCTAATATGGATGTCTTGCTTGGGTTTGCAAGGTAAAGTACTGCCCTCAGAACCATTTCTGACCTTCCTTTCAATCACTTGATTTTAATGACACAGTTAGAAGCTTCATCAGCATAACCATGTTGAACTTCTTACCTGATGATTTAGAATAAACTAGGCGGGACAAAGTAAATCTTTCTCCAAATTTTAAATCATTGAATAATGCTAGACATTATCTAGGAACAGTGGGTATTTTGAAAATAAAATTTGATTAGAAACGTAGTAATAATAAAC